CACCAGGTGCTGCCAGACAGGGAGGCAATCCCCGCTGCCCCCCACTGCCCCATAATGCATGGGGGCTCTGCACAAGCCCCTCAAGGCTGCTGCAGGAGCCGGTGAGTCCCAGGGTTTTACTGATTTTTTTCTTTTCTTAAAGGACTGGAGCTAGGGCAGGCAGGGCACCCATGGGCAGGCTGGGGGAGCATGGAGGGGGTCAGGGGGCTCATGCCAGAGCCCCCCATGCAGTGTGGGGCAGCAGGGATTGCCCCCCGCCCCTGCCTGGCAGCACCCAGTGAGTTGGGGCTTTTTATTAAAGCACTGGAAGCTGGGGCAGGCAGGACAGCCATGGGGGTGCTGGGGGAGCAGGTGGGGGGTGGAGAGCCTGGGGGAGCAGGCAAGGGATGAGGCCTGGCAGGGGCCCCCCACATAGCCCCCTCCCCTACCCCTATCTACCAGCTCCGAATCTGGCTTCAGCTCTCTGCAGGGATTACCTGAATCATCAAAGCTCTCTGAATCTTTTCCAAAGCTTTGGAGAGCTTCAAATCAATTTGGGCCTTTTATTGGTCCTCTGATTCGATTTGGATTTGGAGATTCAGCCACCGAAGCGGGCCAAATCTCCTCCAAATCGAATCACCGCCTGAAGCTTCACACGGCCCTATAAGCAGCATGTTTAAGAAACAGAAAATTTAAAATGTAAATCGCAGAAAGGGACTAATGACTGTGGTGGTAAGAGAAATGCTGCAGATCATTACAAGAGAAAGCAGACGTATGTAAAACATCTCCACGTCTTAAGATGAGTCTTTCAGGGAAATCCTCCTTTCCAGTGCTTCTGGGATGTGTAGTAAAGATCACATGTACTGCCAAACTCAAACCAATGGACATGCATGCTAAAGGAAGATGCATGCTTCCATTCAAGGCTTCCTCAGCCTTGTTTCATGGGGATTTTGGGCTGGGGTTGTCTTTTTCCCCCCAGTTTTGAGCAATAGGAAGTCTGGTTGGAAGAACACACAGGCTATGGGAATTCTTACAGTCAATCTGACACGGTGAGATAAAGTTTACTGAAAGACCTAAAAACTCAGCATTTTTTCTTGGGGCAGATAGGTGAGGACAGCAAAGTACTTGCATACGACAGGCTAACTGGCTAATTTTGAGTGAGTGCCTAGCTCCCAAAGAACCAGGGAGCAGGCTGAGGGCAGTTCCTATGGTCAATTATTGTGGGCAGGACTCTCTTGCCAACTGTGAGATTCTGGCCTCTGCCAGGCCTTGACTGTATTGGGTCCACTGGGAGGTGAACTGACTTTTCTCAGGCTTAGCCTTTTACCTGTTTTGTGGGTAGGGATGAAGCATAGCATTTTTTTTAGGCCAGAGTCTTGAAGACAATGAAATTACTTTTGGCGTGAGACACTACTTGGCATTAGCAAGCCTGGCAGGATCTGTCTCTTAGGGACAGGAGTTGAGCTTTAACACTATTTAACATACTGCAGCAGGTTTTTCCTGCTCCCAAAGATAAATGCATTTTATTTACATTACAATCCTGGCTCTATCAGCAACCTGATGGGCGACTGTAGACAATTCATTTAATTTCCCAGTGCCTCAGTTTCCTGACCTTTAAAAAAACAATAATGATACTGACCTCTTTGTATAATGCTCTGAGATGGACTGATGGAAACCATTGTACAAGCACTAACTATTTTTTAATATTTTGCCCTGAAATTGGAAAACTGAATGCTCCGGTCTGTTAACCAACGCCCAAGCAGAAGTCAGACAGATTATTTAGTGTCTGGCTATGCCAGAGAATGACTCTGCTAAAGAAATTAAATTAAGAGAAACCAACGTAAAAAAATAATACCAGTAATTTTGCTACAAAGGCCTTTTTACTTTTTTGGATCTCAATTTTTAAATAATTTTATGAGCTCAAAAATGGCAGTAGAACACTGCTACTGAATTATTAAATTTCTGCCAAGGTCCTTTAAAAAAGCAGAAAATACAGTGACAAGAACAGTTATGGTTTATAAGATTACAAGTTCAATGCCCAGGATGCTTTCATTTCACCTTTGGACAATCACCTGAGGTGTATTCAGAAATGCGAGGCTGTGCAGAAGGGACAGTTGCACAACAACTGCGTTCTTAGACCCTACCAAGTACAGACAGTCAAAAAACCCAAGGCTGAATTGATCCAATTTTGCGCATTAGTCTAAGCTGTGTAGATTGAACCAAGAAGCAAATGAACAGATATTCACTTTTGATTCTGGAACTGCAGCCACATGTCTGCAGTGGCCCAGGCCAGAAGCCAGGGGGTGCTAGAGCACACCTCCCTGCTTGGCTGAAGCAGACAGTTTGAGCCAAGGCTAGCCTGCCCACCCTTTATGGGGGGGTTGGAGGGGAGACGCAAGGCATCCTGGGATGCTGAGGGGCTATGAGTTAACTTGAATCTGGAGGGGATTTGCGACAGAAGTTCAATAAAATGGTTTAAACTAAATCAGTTAAGTCTCATACTACATCCATCCAGGTTTACCTTAAACTGGTTTGGGCCATTTTGAAAGCAGTTTATATGCACTGAACTTCTGTTTTGTTACAGATATGAACTGGTTTCCGATCACTTATACCAGTTTATGTGTAATTTCTGTCCTTAGCCCAGCTGATTAAGCATGAAGAACCTTTCAATTCATTCACTCTTGGAACAGAATATGCAAGTAAAATGCCACCATTATTTTTCCTAATACTGTGGCCACTTCTACCCACGGAGACACTCTTCACTGAGAACCTTACAACTTTCTTCAACAGGGTTTTTATAACCCAAGAATGGAACGTGGAGTAAATCGACCAAACTACCACTAATGCTTCAATTTTAACTTAGTGCTTTGTTCCCAAGCCAGAATACTCTTCCCTCAACTGGGAGCTACCTTGTCCCACAATAACCTGGGAAGGGCACATGCACAGCACAGAGCTGCAGCACACATGCCTGCCAAAGCTAATATATGGTAGGCCCCACTATGTCAGAACTTCCTTCACATTTCACTGGGCCTTTTTGTCATCTTGTTTATTTCCATTG